TATAAATCATCATACAATATTTTCTATTTATTTTGAAATAGGTGATGCCTCTACATTGCATTGTATGGATTACCAGAGTATGTTTAAGTGTGTGTGCATAACACACATGCACATACACAAATCTTGGTAAAGTATGAATAACATTCTAGTTATATTTAGGCCATGACCATATATTAGATATGCATGCTCATCCATTCATTGGAAGTTTTGACTTTGATCTTATCCCATTCTTTTGTAATATATTTTTAAAATTTCAGATGCATCTGGTAGCTTAGAAAGGATTTGTTAGTTAAAAAGGTATTGTGTACCACAACATAAAATATAGTACACTAAGAATAAAATATAAGCTGGCAGATAAGTATATATCCATTTTCAGTCATTGGATATGTAGAAAAATAATAATAGCAAAAATGTGGAACATGCTTCCTTGTCTTTTAGACTTCAAATCCACCATGCTGAATGGATTTTTATAGGGCATATACTTGTTCATGACCTCTAGTGTTAAGAAATTCTGTCATGTTTGAAAACTGGTCCCTAGTGGAGCCTGTGTCCCTGTTAATAGCTGAAAGGTCAATGGAGCTGCTAAACAGTTTGTATTACTGTCAGGGTGGCCATGAAAACACCGCCTGCAGCAAGAGGACTTGGCAGCTGGGTCAACAGGCACCGTGGGGATTTATCAACCTAGGGGGGCCACTTGCATAAAACTTCGACTGATGAATTGGGACTAGACTGGCTTATTGGGCTAAAGCCTCTCTATTATGCATGACTTTCTTGAGGATGGCAGAGCTGCCTGAGGCTCCCTGAGACATATGTGAAGGTTAAACAGAACTGATTTCCCCTTATGAGGTGATTTTTTTGGAAAAAAGCACTCTTCAGCATCCAGTATAATAAAGAGTAGGATGAAGATATTAAAAAAAAATAAACAAAGAGCAGTAACTGGGGTCATTGACGGGAGAAGTAGTGTGGAGGCACGAGGAGCAGTTTTTGATATTGGTCACACAGGAGTTTGGGACCCAACATTTCTGTAAAATGACCTCTCAAGCCTGGAATTTGCATTGTTAATTTATAGACCTCTTAAGGGAAGGGTCTGTGTGACTTGGTTGGGTAACAGATAAGCAATATGTTAAAATACAGTAAGACTGCGTACATAGTAATTAAATCAACATGATTAAGAATAATTTTGTTTTACAAATTCCTGGAGAAATAACCCTGGAAATGTTTCAAAATCAATAAAAGGTCACTTGGTTTAAGTTCATCTGAATCTTTGTCAATAGTGTGAAAAAATTTGTGTTCTATAAAAATAATGCTTGGAAAGTCCATAACTCTGTTAGAATTCTTTAATTTCCACCTCCAGGAACATTTGTTTGGTTCTGAAAAGATTTAATAAACATCAAGCATCCAAGGCATGACTTGGATATTTGAAAACTAGGTATTAAGAGCTCTTTAAAGCTCCACGGACACCTTTACCCCAGTTTTGAAACTAAGAAAACCTTAAAAGTTGAGAAATCATCTGAAAATAATTCTTGAATGCATGGAATGAACACCAACAATATTAAAGAATTTAATATATTTTAAATATGTTATTTAATTATCTTCACAGAGCACCACAGAAATAAGGCAGAGGCATAATGATCGTATGCACTTTATTGATGGGCAAAGGGACACAGTATATGAAATAACTTAATGCAGGGTCCCACACTAAAGAAGATTCAGAGACAAGACCAACTGACTCCTTGTCCTACGAGGATAGACTCACTCCTAGATTTGACCAGTCTCAGATGGCACTTCTAAGAGAAACTAAAATTATCACCCAGCTCTTGGGCTCAATGTATTGAAATCTGTTTTCTGGAACTGCTGGCTGAAGGAGCTCCCCAGACTAGGGCATGTAGAACCCAGTACTAGAGACTTTTTGGAACTTAGAAAGTTGGCCCAGCAAGTGGAGTGTTCGGTATTGACTTGATCTTCACTCCACTCTGCCATGAAATACAACTGCTCCACCTCTGCAAGATATTCCTGAAGTATGTTCAATGTTCTAACATGGAGGCAAAATTCATCCCTTTTCTGCTTTTTCCTTAAATAACTCCTGAGTTCTAGTTAAGCCTTAGAGAAACTTGGTTGTATTCTTATTGAATTTTCATTATAAATAATGGCATTTTTGTTTGTTTGTTTGAGGAAGATTTGCCCTGAGCTAACATCTGTGCCAATCTTCCTCTATTTTGTATGTGGGTTGCTGCCACGACATGGCCACCAATGAGTGGTATAGGTCCACGCCTGTGAACTGAACCTGGCCTGCGGAAGGGGAGCGTGCTGAATTTAACCACTAGGCCACAGGGCTGGCCCCAGCATTTGATTTTTATAACAAGTTATCTTGCTATTCTTTTCTCAGAAGGATGCACACTGTAAATGATTTTAAAGTTATGTAAATGACTATATAACATATAGCCTTAGAGCAAATTGTCCTTACAGACTGAGAGGGAAATACTGGATCCTCATTTGCTTTTGCCAAAATGACCTAAGAATATTGCATATGGTTTCTAAACTCCCTTATCTTTCTTATACACGAGTGTGTGCATGTTTAGGGAAATGTAGAAAAAACATAAATGGTATAGTGAGTAAGAATGTAACTTCTATGACACATAATATAGAATATAAAAATTTTATAATTTGCTATTATTCTCTTCCAGGGCCATAAGTCAATTGATGTTTGAAAGTTATTCTGAAAACATTATTCTAACAGGTCTAGGGCTCCTCCCCAAGAATTCAATAACCTAAGATTTTAATTTCAATTAGATTTTTGATATAACAAGAAATGTCTGTATACTGTTTTTTCAGTTGATGAGGCTCTTTCTTCAAATTCTCCCTCAAAAGTTTTAGAAAAACTGTTTTGCTCTGAAGCAGACATCCTGAACACTGCTAGGCTAGTAATTAGCTCATATTTCCAAAATGATCCCGTTCACATACACTAATGTGTCTGCTTATTTAGAACTTCAACTCATCTAGGGAGAAATACTGTAATAATGAACGTTGGCATCCAAATCGAAACAGCATGAGGCCCCCAACAAATGTTTATGCAAACATTTGTTTTCTTATAGTCAGTTTAATTTTGAAATTTATGCCTATGCCTGTGTACAAGGACGATGTCTTTGGGACTCTGTTACTCCTCCCACGTTCTGAAAACCAAACACAAATCTTAACCCTGGCCCCACACATGACAAAACTCACCAGAAACAGGCACCATAATGAGAAGTCAGGCCTTTCAGGTATGTCACTCTGAGACCACCCTACTAGAGGAGGCCCTAAGATCACAAAGCCAAGGTCCCTAACGGCAACGCTGGTAATTAGACACTAATAATGGATTGAAGGTGTAAAATTCACCTCAACTCACCACCAACAGACTAAACAATCCAGACGAAGAGGAAAAGACTTTTGTGAGGAGGAGGGAGAATTATAACACCATCAGGAAGCTTGCAAAAGCATATCAACTTTGATGAATATAATGGAATAACAAAGACTATTTCGAAACTAATGGCATTACATCTGAGTGAAATCCCTAGACCTCATTATGAATCATTAGAATGCTGCTATTTTATGAATTAACATTAGTTTGATTTTTGTTCTTAATATTGCCAACTTCAACATTTGCTGAAATGTCTGATAATTTTTTCATTCGTTACTTTGCTTTTCACAAAGAGGACATTGGTTTCACAATCAAGGAGGAAAAGAACTCCTACAGGTTATATATGGGTACTTTTCTCTTATTGTGAAAGAAAATGTTTACTGTCATGTAGAGAAGGAATGCTTTCATTGTGTGATAGATGAGTGTGTGTGATACTGCAGAGAGACCATTTACCATTGATTATTTCTCTTTTTGTTCTGCAGTACCAATGTCAGCCTATATTTTTCTCAGGAAAGATAGAGTTTTGTGGTATGGAAAAAGGACAAGAATCTCCATTTTATCAGTCAGTGACTTTTTCAGAAAAACATACACAATTTACAAGTCGCAAATAATATTTTTAAAATGGAACTAAATTAATGCTTTTAGTAAACATTTCAGACTATTAGAATTTATTCTTCCAAAAGAGACTTGAAATTTGAGAATTTAAATTTGCAAATGGGTTCATGAAGATAAGTTAGTATAGAAAGAATCTGAAATTCACAGCATGGTGTAGCTAGAGTCTGACAACTATTGGTGTTCAACAATAGTCATATCTGTGAGGGTACTTCAGTTCTGTAATAGTTGTTTCCAAACTTATGACTAATATCTATTTGACAGTATATAATTTTAGCAGCTTCAATAGTTTCTATTTTGTCCACAAAATTAACAAGTGATTAATTATAATTCCAGATAATTTGAAAGTTGTGCGTGTTGAAGTTGTGATGGGTGGGTAGAAGGAGCAGGGGAGGGATAAATATATTCTTTAAAGGATTAAAACATTCAAATCTTCCTTTTCCTGAGGTAAATAACAAAACACTTCAGTTTTCATTTGTTTAGTCACAGAAGCCTGCCTGAGAGCTGTGAGCTTCCAGATAGTTTTGAAATAAGGCTCAGATGTTGAACTGTCAAAATAACTTATCCTGATTACCTAACACAAATCATACTAAGCAGCTGTAATGTCTGCCAGTATGTTTCTAGTTTTCTCAAAAGAAAAGGAGGGTTTATTGCTTCCAACAGGAGAGCTGAAGCCATTGCCTCACACGTCAGGGTCCTCTGGCATTTGACTGAGGACTCTGATTCTACAAATATAATGCTGCTCTCTGATGACAACAAGAGTGACATGAATGTATGATAGCAATAAGGCTTTTAAAGTTCAGCATGGTCAAGTCTAGCCCTCAGAGACTGGAGTTGAAGCTCCTCTCCGGACAGCACTTAGCATATGGACAGGGCAGAAGTGTTCATCTTTGTTGACTGCTATTGTAATTCGTCTATCACTAATCTGAATGCACTAAAATAACTTGGTGAAGAATATTACTTGACTTAAAGGAATATCAAAAAACCTCACCTTTTGGGATCTACAATTTTGTAGAGTTTTCCATTGTGAGCCTGGGTCATACTTTTACTACTTGATAGAATGTAAACTTCACCTATGAAGAGAGAGATACAATAAGTTAATTCACAGTACTACAAGGCCTTACTTCCTATTGCCTAGCAGATATTTATGTATATGTATATATATGTATATACATTTACGTATATGTGTGCGTGTGTGTGTGTGTATATATATATATCTATTTTTTTTTTCCATACATCCTCAGGAAGATCACTTGCCAAAAGATTATGAATGAGTTTCACAAGTCTACCTTCACAGTGCATTCGGATTCTGATCACTTCTCTCCACATCCCACTACTGCTCCAGTGCAAGCAGATATTAATCTCTCACATGGATTATGGTAACAGCCTCCTAACTGATCTCCCTGCTTCTAACTTTGCTCTTCTATGTTTATAGACCAGCCACAGTGATTCTTTTAAGCAATTAAGGTCATATAAGTTGGATCACACTCAATATACTCCAATGGATGCTAATCTCTTTCCAAGCAAAGGTAAGTCCTGACAGTGGTCTTTGTGATCCCCTTATTGCTTTGATCTCATCTGCAATGTTCTGCCCTCTTGTTCACTCCTCTCTAGCCTCACTGGCCTCTGGGCTTTGAAGACCTGAGGCAGGGTCCTGTCCCAGGCACCTGACTCAGTTCCTATCTCAGCTTCTGTCCCAGGCTCTTGTCTCAGCATCTGTCCCAGGTTCTGTCTCAGGCTGCTGCCTTTCAGTAGATCTCCAATAGGTTGACTTTTTCCCCTCCTTCAAGTCTGTGCTTAAACATCATCTTTCCTGACTGTACTACTTAAAATTGTACTTTTCCCAACCCTAGTAACCTCGATCCCTCTTCACAACTAGATTTTTCTCTAAAACACTTATTACCAATTGACATACAGTATATTAAAAAAAAAAAAAAACCAAAGCAACATTTATTTTTACTGTCCTTCTCCTTTAGAATATAAATTTCATGTCTATCACCTGCTGTGTCCCCAACACCTAGAACGGACCTTTGCACGGAATAGGAGTTCAATAAATACTTGCAGAATGAGTGTTGAATGGTAAGTTTTATATCTTGATTTAGTCTGCCAAAGATTGAAAGGTTTGGTTACCAAGTTGTTATTGTCAATTGATAATTTGAGGCCAGATAGAATTGGGGTACTCCTTTTTTAATTTTTAGTTTTTAAAAACAGAATATACTAAAATAAATATTTGGGAAGAGAGAGACCCTCATGCTCACCCTCAGCTCTACCTCTCTAATTCTTGATGCGCGGCTGTGTTCGTGATGATGAAACACAGCAGATGGAGCGCCCTTTTAGGAGAGAATTATTACCACCACTTCCATATAATTCAATGTATAGAATGCATCACATGAATAGGGAATTATAAGCTGTATTTATGATTAGATGTTTATAAGGTTTTAAAATTTATATTTGGTTCTCATTCATGAAATAGTCCTTGATTTAGTCTATATTTCTCCATTCCACTCTATTATTGTATATTAAGCACACCTTACTACTTTTTATTTCTGAAAAGGATGTTATGGGGTTTGCACTAAAAAGCAAAGGAATATAAGCAAAAAAATTACTATTTATTTCATCAAGTATTTTATATAGTTTACCTCATTTAATCCTTATAACAAACCCTCCTGATTTTATACTTAAAAAAAAAAAACAGAAAAAAGACTCTCAATACTTTTTGTTTCAAAAAATGTAAAAACCTACTCATTTTCTTATATGGCTTTTAACTAAAGCCAAAGAGTTTCACATTAAAGTGTAATTCAGTGAAAGTATATTTATTTTTAATTATAAAGTATACATGATGTTGTAGCTTTTGGACAGTAAGGATTGTGTATGCTTCATTTGTTGGTTCTGCTCCAACACAGAATTAAGTGTAGATAGATGTCTGGATATTTTAACCAATGGTGGTGATGCTAACAGGATGACTGATGGTGAGTCATGTGTAGTAAGGTCTGGGGAAATCAAAATGATTCAGTCACAACATCTAAAAATTCATCTCTAACTGCTGAAAACAATTTAATTATAATTTATATTTTAAAATCAGAGTTAGCCAATGAAATTTAAATTACATTACAGAGGATTAAGTGAGAAAGAGTATCTTTCTGGTTCCTTTGAGTGGGGTAGGAGAATATCAAGGGAAAATTAATTGTAAAATGCTTTTAATGCTGGAACAAGAAAAGAATAGATTGGACTTCTCTTCTTTGAATCATTATATTCCTGTGGCTCTGAAATATGTATTATGTGTTTCAGGAATCTTGTCTAAGTCCCTTGTTAACCCAAATGAATGACATGGAATTATTTCTGATGAATTCTCCATTTGATATATAGATAAACAAAATCTGGACTCTTAGAGAAAATATTCTGATTTAGATGAGAAACATAATTCTTCTTTCTTAATACCTAGAAATTCATCTTTGAGGCTAAAGGAGCATAGTAGCTATGGTTTGTTTGGATACTGTTCATTAAAGAGAGTCATTCTAAAAGCTGCATTTATCTCTGTAATTTAAAACTAGTAGCATTTTCATTCTTTGATTGATCACATTCCAATTTCAACTTCTTTTTGCTTGTTAAGCTGCATACATTTTGATAACATATATTGTATGTTATCCCATAGATCATCAATGAGAAGATAATTTCTATTCTGTTGGAAAGCAGATCTACAAACTCAGATTATCTTGCACAAATTTCATGCCCCAATGGGCAAAAAAATACAAAATTAGGAAATAGAGGATAAGGTGAGATTCAGATTGCAACAAATTTTTTATTTATTCCAAGAGACATGGATAAGTGTACGGGTTTTCAAAAGAGAATATAAACAAATGACTCAGATTTATCACAAATATCAGTAGACATTTAAAATTTTCTCTCTCTTTAGGACTCAAAATTTTTTGTTCCTGCCTCCCATTTTCCTGCTTTGTTACTTTTATATTTTTGGAGTGGAAGTAAGATTTAAAGAGGCTCAGAGAAAGGTTATTGGAAGAGAATACATAGCTGGACCATATCTAATCTCTACAGTAGGTCATCTTTGCTGTAGGTTACATTTCCGACAAATGTAGGATAAGATTGTTATGCTTATTCCTCAGAGAAGAACAAAGTCTCTTGGGAAAGGGAGTGAGAATGGAACTTAATAGAAATAGTTTATACAGTACCTAATTCGTCTTCTCCAAATCCCAATATGTGACCTGAAAAGTAACCTCTACAGGAACCACTATTGCCAAGACAGAGTGGTTTTTCTTGCCATTGCTTGCTCACAGGACTTTGCTGGAGAGTTAAGAAATTCCTACAACAAAAACGGACCATAAACCTACAATGAAAACATGCTTTGGCTTAAAAAACACAATAAAAATGTTTAAAATAAAACACAATAAATAATTGTTGTGCCATAGACCTGGCTTCTAAAGGGAAAAGTAATATAGCCCATATTGTGTGTGACTACTGTGAAATTCCCATGTGGGGAAAAAGTACTTAAAGATAATATTTTGTTTGGAGGGGGGCACTAAAAGTACCTGAGTATGAGAAAAGCCCTCCCCTTCATCCAGAGAATGATACTTCCTCTCCAGGACTAGACTCCATGCTGTGCTATTAATCAGAGAGAGGGACAGGGGGAAGATCATGGGGTCAGTACACTTGTCTAGTTCCTTTTAGCGACCAAGCATATCAGCTCTGCCATATGCCTGAATGCCAGCGACTTGGGAAACAAGATTCTTAATTTGGGTTTCATCACAGAGTTTCTAATAAATATCCACAACGTGACTTCTAAAATTTAATTTTTTAGCATTCCTACTAATAGAGACAAATTAAGTTCTTTTGCCAAAAGTCTTGAAAGTCTGGCAAAAACAAAAATTGTTAGCCTTCCAAGATAATTTTTAAAATATTTATACAACTCATGTAAAATAATAGTTTTCAAATTACTCATTATCATGGTAAATTTATGTTAAGGGTGAAGGGAAGAGCCTACATAATATGAAAAGTCCATCAGAGGACTTCTCTGCTCTTAAAAATTATTTTATGAACTTGATCAAGTCTGTTTAAAAAGCATCTCTTAGGAAGTTCTTTAATTAAACCACCACATATAGTGAAACTAAAAGTATGTGTGTCCCAGACCTGACCTCCAAAGGGAGGCAATCATTTGACTATTTTATGGCAGTTTGCCCACTAATCAAAGGATATGTCATTTGATATATCAAACTGGTATCAGGAAACCTACCCATTACGGTCGCCAAATACGTAGCTTCCATACAGTCTTTCAGACTGGCAGCCTCGGTAAACAAATCCGCCAACCAAAGGACCATTACTGAATGGCTTGAATTCTAAAAGTGATGGCTCACTTTCTGGAAAGAAATAAACAAAGCATTAGATCAAATGAAAAATATTTCCATAAAGTAAAAGTAATGTAGGCCAAGCAAAAACTATTACAGTAATTTAACTCTGAAACATGTTCCATGATGCATAAGATGAATCATTGCTATAGATATTTAGTGAAAATAATTACTCCCTTTGCTTAAATAGTATAAAATTTAAAAGCATAGTATAAAAATAGTATGAAATTAAATAAAATTCCATGTACAGCTTAATGAAATGGGAATGCTCTGCAAATGCTTGCTGTTATAATTGTCAAGACATACCAAATTTTAATGAAATTAGAATCTGGATACTTTGGAAATCATGGTTATTTACTTTAGAATCAAAATACTTAAAAAAAATAATACTTAACTTCTTAAATGTTGAATCATTTGTAGAAATACTTCTGCATATATTTAATAAATTGAGCCAGACTTCTGTCAAGTTATATAAAATGTTTAACAGTGCATACTTTAATGGAAAAAAAAGTATAGTACATAAAATGTCTTTAAAACCACATTTGTTGTATATTTAAAACCATTGTCACTTAGTCAAGTAATATCCTCATTTAAAATATTTTAACAGTTTTGTTTATAGAGTTGTGTGGTTAACAGTCTACTGCTGTCATTCCTTTTCAATTACAAGTGTATAGTCATGTATCTCAATCTTTCTAAGCATGTCACTCTATATTTGAATACATTTATGCAAATTGCAACGGAAAAGATCTAAAGCCAGTCGCAAATTAACATGAAAATTAATTATTACATACTTAATGTTAAAAAGTCACTATCAACAGGCAGTATTTTAGGAAAAAGCTTTTGTGGAAAGACAGTAATTATAAAGTCCTCTCCCCTCCCCACGTGACTATGGTGAGTATGATATTATAAGAAGTAGAAAAGATAAGTTTTAAATCACCAGCTCACTGAGAGGCAGCGTAACTGAATGCTTAAGGTCATGAACTCTGGAGTCAGGCTGCCTGAGTTCAGATCCAGACCCTGCTACTCTATGTTGTGTGATAACTAACCTTTCTGTGTCTGAGTTCCGTACAACGTGGTTAACAATAGAGCCTATCACATAAGTTTGTTCTGTGAATAAAATGAGTAGAGTTTATAAAACGTTTACTACAGGGCCTGGCATGTAGTAAGCACTGCGGATGCAGTTATTTTGGCTTTTTGTTTTTTTCAGTTTTATTGAGGTATAATTGACAAATAAAATTGTAAGACATTTAAAGTGTACATTGTGGTGATTTGATATATCTATCCATTGTGAGAGGATTCCATGGATGTGTTTTTAATACAGAAATGTAGGGCTGCCAATATTGTAGCCAAATTCAGCTAAACCTCAATTAATGTGATTGTAGAATTTAATTTAATCTACAAATATAGCCAAAATTCCATCAAGCTAGTGACTCATTACATTTTTTTTCAAACCACATTATTCTTTGGTTTGGCTTTTATAAGATGCATACACACACATACATGAATACCTGAAAAAAAATAAAGTAAAATAACTGAATACCACATGAACTAACACAGCTGCTTCATTCCTGGTACTAAATAAATATCTGTATTAAATGAGTAAAGAGAAGAAGCAATCAATTTAATAATCTTAATCTACTACGTTCCCTGATTCATAATAATATTTGATATATTGCTTCCTCCAAAAGGAGTAAATACTAAAACATTGAAAAATATTCACTTTTTTGGACTTCATGATTATCCAACTTTATTTTTGTATATGTATCTCTAAACACTCTAGTAATCATATTATTAAAAATAATGTTTAAACGTCCCATTTCCATCCCTTGGGTAAATAACATGTTTTTACAAGTCTATTACTTTGTTTTCTCTAAAATAAACACCTTTAAAAAAATTACATTCTTATTTGAAACACTTATAATTTTCCTAATTGCTGAGGCTAGTATGTTGGGTATTGAGAAATTTCTTACCTTTAACACTTGTTTTTCCCTCTGTGTATAAGATGTTAGCTAAGACAAGTTCTCTCTTATATATTAAATAAATAGAAGTTATTCATCTTGATTCTCAGATGAGCAAAATATAAACTGCTAACTTTTAAAGGTCCATTAAATTTGTTGGACCTACAGAGAACCATTCAATCCATGGGAAAGGTAATTACCCAAATGGAACACCTAGGGCTTGTAAGAGTCACTGGACCTTTAAAAAGTGAGCAATTTACTCCCTCACCACTGTTAGGCCAGTGTTTTTATGCTTTCCCAATGCTCATTTTGCAGAAATGCTTTTCTCTTCAATTAACAGACTAAAATAAAACAAAGCACAAACTAAAGCCAAATCAACAAATTATGCTCTACTTACCATAATCCTTCCCCTTTATTATTTGTAGGATTCTGGCTGATGATCTGTTCTTTCCATTGGAGTCTGAACAAAGTATTGTTAAATTGATGTTTATATCAGTGGGGTGTCGATCCACAGCACATCTGAATAACGAAAAGGAGGGACACCCATGAATTCCTACCAGGGTATCTTCCAAGCTCAGACTGAAGATTCCTGACATAGGAACCCTTTGTGGGCTGGCAAGGATCCTATGGGCTATTTAGTTTGGATCCTCTAGAAACCGCTGAAGGAAACATCCTGATGTGTTTGTTTACTCTGCTGAAGCTTAATGATCTCTGGAGAATATTTCTTAATTTCTCCTGGTATCTCCCTCCATTATGAACGTGCACACTGACTTAAAACATTTGTTAGGCTGCTGTTAAGGAATATCACCTATATAATACACTGTTAAAGTATAAGAATCAGCAGCAGCATCAACTCACACCTGCAACACACAATATAGAATTACAGCGGTAGTTTTGTGAGTTTTGTGTTTCTTACATGGAATTGCTGTATTCTAAAGCTCAGCCTGCTCTAACAAAGGAAAGCGTGCATTCCAATTTAGGGGATAAAATAAAGCTGGCCCCCACAACCATTATGGGCTTTTACATTGACTGTGTCTTCATGTCACCTCTAACCTGGGGCCAGAATATTTCTGTGACTTAAGCCACTGACCGTAAACTCCTTGAGACCAGGGACCACTTCCAACTTCTTTATCAATATATTTCTGTTACCTAGTTCAAACCTGGGAATATGAAGGGGCTCAATATTAGTTGAATGTTTAAGTCAGTGACGGACTGGGCATGTGGAGTTTGGGTTGGAGGAAGAAAGAAGTTGAATAACATAACTTTTGAAGTTCTCACAAATGTGGAAAACAGTGTTGCATTGTTTTTTAGGTTTCTCAACCTTGTCATTATTGACATTTGGGCCAGATAATTCTTTCGGTGGGGTTGAGGGAGGTGCTGTCCTGTGCATTGTAGGATGTTTAGCAGCATCTCTGACCTCCACCCACTAGATGTCAGTAGCATGATCCCCTCCTCCCAAGTTGTGAAAACCAAAAATGTTTCTAGGCATTGCCAAAAGTCCTTTGGGGGTAAAATCATCCCATTGAGAATCACTGTTTTAGACCAACAAATACCTTAATGACTTAAAAAACAAAAAACGAGCAACAACAAGAAAACCATTGGGGCTATTAAATTAATTAAAAAATAAAAAAATCTGAAAGTAGGTTCTAGGGCTTAAGAGACATGAGTCAAATGTAGCAATTATTTCAACAACAACAACAAAACAAAAACTGTTGGCTCCAAATGATCCCATTTATAATGGGGAAACTATAAGGCTGACCTGCCAAAGATGGGTTAGCTGTTCTGTGGCAACAGTCTCTTTATTGTCCTCGTTAATTCCATGATTCACAGAATACAATGCCTGGCATGGATCATGACATAGACATGCTGTGACTTAAGGTGGAACTAAATCCATACAGGATGAGAAAATTTTCCTGCATTGCCTTTCTTTTGAAGATGGAGAAACTATGACAAAAAAAAAAAGTTCGACTTCTTTCTAACAAGAAAGAGCAAATCTGCAAGAAAAGGGCAGGTCTCTTGAAGGCGGGGGTGCTGGGGGCCATGGGTCTAGCTCTGGCTGAAGACTAGGTCCACTGGGAACCACTTGATGCTTCTAAGCTTTAGTTTCTTATGTAATAAAAGAGGCCTGACAGTGAAACTTCTCTGTACGGTACTGTAACAGTGGATACATGTCATTATACATTTGTCCAAGTCTATAGAATGTACAATAGCGAGTGAACCCTAATGTAAACTATGATCTTTGTGTGATTGTGGTGTGTCAATGTAGGTTCATCAATTCTAACAAATGGACCACTCTAGTGGGGGATGTTGATAATGGGGGACGCATATGTGGTGGCAGGGGGATATGGGAAATCTCTGTTTCCCATATCTGCTCAACTTTGCTATGAAATTAAAATTGCTCTAAAAATTAAAATCTTTTTTTAAAAAAAAGGGAGATGCTTGATGTCAGTTACCTGAGTATTGCTGAGAGGCAGAAATGAGATAATGTGTGCAAGATACTTAGTTCAGTACTCTGCACCAAGGTGATTAATAAAAGTCAGCTTTACTTTTAGCCAGTAATTATTTTAGTTCCTTTTTGCTTTATTAAATCATCCTCTGCTTGAAATATTTTTGGAGGGAGGTGAACTTTTCCTTCAGCTTTCTGCGGCCAGAGGAGGTAAGACTCCACAGCACAGGCATCTTGCATATGTAAGGTCTGTAAAGCACTTCACCCTGCGTTTTTGCACCGAGGGTCCAGGACCCCTGGGAAGGTTGCACGAAAGCTCCAGTGGGATTGTGGTGACTCAGGCTGCTCAACTTCAAAGTGCTGCTTTGTGTTGGTATCTGTGAGTTCTGAGCTATAGGAATGGAATGTGACAGTTTCCTCCACATCCTGAACCCACCTTAAGTATTCCCTGTCGCACAGATTTTAAGATCTGCTGAGATGCCAAAAAGGAAATGAACTGTAGACTTGGACTTTGATGGAGGGGAGAAGAAGGGCATGAGGGATTATAAAAATAAAAAGTTCGAAAAATACTCACCTTGCACATAGTGAACACTCAATAAACATTAAATAGCAATAATAACTTCACTAGTAAATGAATGAATGTGGCCAGATATCCCTTCGTATGAATAACAGACCACAGATTGGATGAAGCTTTCATCATAGAATTGCTACACACTTCATAGCATTTTTTTAGTGTTCCCCAAATTTCTCACTCCACATACTTCTTAATGTTCCTTTCTTTGTGGTTCATTATAGTAGACTGTTAATATGAATTCCTTTAGTATTTGTAATTTTTTTCAAGTGAAAAAATGTTAACATTTAGCTCAATCCCTTACAAATTGATACTAAATCATCATATGTTAAGTGAAGTTATGATAAGAACTATAATTTATTTGAAACCTACAAGGGGTGTCAGACACTCTATTTTGTGCTTTACTTACAGATGTGCATTTAATCATTACAGCAACCTTGCAAGGTAGCTATTACCACCTCCATCCAATATATAAGGAAATGATCATTTAGAGGGGTTTAAGGAGACAAATTAAAAGGTTTAATATCTCTCTGAATTTGACCAATTAAGGTCTTACTCATTACACTAGTCCAACACTGTTTACCTAATAATAACCCTCCAAAACTTTAAGGTGATTTTTCTCCATGCATTTGTCCTTTTCTGTGTCTAATCTGCCTTCTCAAAATGCTTCACACATTAATACCAGGAGAAAGAGTGCTCAGATAATGAGCTGGTGTGATTTTAGAGGCACAACCTTGGACACCACTCTTGGCCCTGTGCCTGGACCCATCCTTCTTTTCCCAGTTCCCAAACCCCAGCCTGGCTTCATAGCAGGCAAGAGGACAGGCTGGTGTGCTCACCTGCCTGGATCGTGGAGGCCATGGGCAAACACTTCAGGGGGCTGGTTGGTGCTGTTGAAGTGCGGGTTGCTCCTCGGTATGGAATAAGGCACACTGCACATATCTGTGTCCACATCCAGCCGGAGCACCGAACCTGTGAAATCACTAAGAAATTGGATGACGACGTGAGTGTTTTCTGTTTCTGTTATGTATTTCACCTAAACTAAATGCAGGAGGTTGCACTATGAATAAAAGAATCATCCCTGACTTGAGACAAAATTATTAAGGTTCCAAATTTTGTATCGTGGGAAAGGAAACCCGGGGCAGTTTGGCTTCAGACAAGTGACAGCGCCAAGACACAGCTCGAGGGTGGTCGAGGACGGCAGCATCAGTAGTGTGCTACTTTTTGCATCTGTCCTCTTTATTTTTTGCCAATCCATGTCTCTTATGTCCCCCTGGAAGCTTCACTGGACCATGTTAGCTCATTACGCAGTGTTGAAGGCAGCACGGATGCGCAGGGTGGCTGAACAACAGCAGCTGAGCAGAGCACGAGGTGCTGCATGTTTCTCGGGGCTGTGGATACAGCTGTGTGTCGAGCACAAGCCACACAGCAGTAACTCAGTTTAGGACATCTGGGGATAGCGACTAAAAATACGGTATCAGCGTGTTATTGAATTCCTCTGCATTTTATAAATGCAGACACTGATAACAACAGTTAAATACTTAGCCAAGGGGATATTAAGTCAAAGACTTCTTAACTCACTGGCTTTGACCTTTTTTCCTGGCACTTAAAACATTTTAACATCAAGAGGAACCTGTTGTGTTTTTTTTTACCTTAGCCCATCCATTTCTTCCATATCATCCAGTGTGATCATCCCATCACCGAGAATGATGTACAAAAAACCATCAGGGCCAAAGAGCAGTTGTCCCCCCAGATGCTTTCTGTGGAGCTCTGCAACTTCAAGAAAGACTCTGGCTGTTCTCGGATCCACTTGATGGGGATTTTTTCTACATTGGGAGGAGGAAACAATACACCATGATTGTTAAAGATGTAAGGTGAATCCATTAGTAAGTAAATGTACACAAACAGGGAAGCAAATACCTGGCATGTAAATAAGCAAACATAATTGAAATGGAGCATTTTAATAAAAATGACTGAAAAATTACCTTATTTTCTAAGTTTCAGAAGTAGTACTTAAGTTGAAAGATAATTGAGGAAAAGTGCCAAAGCTATCATTTTTCTCAATTTTCCTTAAAGACACATATGGGGTTTTAAGCAAGATGGAGATTATGGTTTAATTATTGCCACCTTATGGCTATTTCTTTGTAACTTCTAAATAAAAAATTATGAAGAGATAATGAGAAAATAAGATTAAAAAATATTTATGCCTCAATGCATTTTAGTGATACCTGGATACTGTGTATTCCACAACTCGAAGAATGTGGTCATGAGGCCCGATAGCCCACCGCTCTTGGTTGGTGGTATAAGACACATAGAGCTTTCCATTTTTCTTGTAATTGGGATGGAATGCAAGGCTTAGCAGTCCTCTTTCATCTCCTCCCTGCAGTCAAATGAAAAACACAAAGAATTGTGAAGTTAATTATGTTCTTTATTGTGTTTCAACTGGAACCCCAAAAGAGTCTCTTTCTTTCTTCTGGATAATCTTTGCCCAAACTCTTTTCTTTTCTTCCTTGCCTACCTCACAAAAAAGGATTATAAAACATTTCACTTTGCGGAACTCTTTAAGGGTTAGAACAAGACAATTGTCTTGTGTGGTTATCTATGCGCAAGACCCTTGCACCACTTTTGTCAAGTGATTTGTGTATGTAATCTTGGGAAGCTAGGAAGACAAGTTTAAGTGCTGTGAAGAATTCTTTGCTGGGTTACTAGGTTGCTGGTAGTTCATAGAAGACAAATAAAAAGGTTCATAATCAGCAGTCACTTCTAATCCAAGTCTCCAAAACCTAAAACACAGTGTGGGCTGCCAACTCCCACTGTCTTGGCAATATGTTTAGAAAACAGTTAAATTGCTTGTGTAATATGTAAACCTTTGTTTTACCCCGGAGGCATCTACATCAGTTGTCACAACGATGGTGGTCTGTTCTTCATAGCTAGGTAATAAGCAGCTTTGGCCTATCTACATAGAAATGAGGTATTTTTACATGTATCCCTTTACTGCATAGAGTTTTTCCTTATAGAAGGATGGAGAGATGGGAGGAGAGCTAAAAGCCAGGGCTGAGGTGGGGGTGGGAGAAATACTAGAGAGGAAAAGGGACACTAGGAAATAAAAGAAAAATCCCAAACAACTTTCTTTTGTGATTATGTGAATGTCAAGGATTGTATACATTAGGCATGCCAAATGCTGTAACAATTAAAACATCATCATGTTCTTAAATAGAAAGGCATTTTATCTTTATTTTCTGCTAATTCAGCTCGATGAAACTCAATATGGTCTTAGCATTTGTTTTATCCCATAAGTAGTCTAGGAATTTCTATAATGAAATCAAAGTACCTAAAATTATTTAGATCAGAGACTTAAAGTTCATAATCTAGTAAGCCAGTGAGCACTTTCTCTGTAGTCTGATGAGTTATCCACAATGGTGAAAAACATGACATAAGAATTGAATGTTGCAACTGCTTCTAGTACATCACTTTATACACACTATTTCATTAAACATCTCCTATGGCAAAAAGCTGTATGTTACTCCTCAGAAGTGTTAGAGAAGGGGAAAAATCTCTAACACTGCAACTTCTTCACAAGGTTCTGCTCAATAATGGAAGTACTCTTGCAATTTTGTCCCTCGGAACAGCATGTGTTATTAGCAAAGCATGGAACTGTTTGTAGTTTGTATTCGACATGGATTTGTAAATTTAATATTTTGGGCATAAAAGCTCACTTATAATAAACATCGTTTGTTTTGTTTCCTGGATTAGAGAAAAGCTGCTTTCAAATATATGCCATTCAAAGTGGAAACATCCAAACTTTAAGAGTGCATAAATAATACTTGGATGCAAATATCCCAGAACTACTTGATCATCATTCAAGTATCAAAAAAGTCAACCTTTTCATTTGCATATCACAATATGCTTACTTTGAATTTTAATCGAAAGAAAGATCTCATTGAAGGGTAAGGCTCTGATGACTATGATTTATGAATGAGCCTCTGTTTTTGCGATGACTTTAATATTGACTTGATGTTGCTGTTTTTCTTTTTGTATCTTCATTAATCAAATATCTCCTGCCTTTCCTGTAAGGCATTGAAAGCTGGGATGTGTAACTAAGATTCAGTTGTAGAAAAGCCACTGCACATTTAAACCTCCTTGATGCATGTGTAAGGAGGCTGAGGGGTGGGATTTAGTTTGTGATTTATTCCTTTTCTGCATATATTTCCCTCTGAAGCTGTGAGTGTGGGGTAAGTCCTACATGCCTCCTTCACAAATGTTTCTGTTCCACTCTAAGAAGCTTTTGTTGCAAGTGGTTCTTTTGTAGTTTTTAATCAAATCATCTGAAATACAGTTTGAATTGGATAGCAACCTGGCTTAAAACTTGCTGGTTGCTTTTCAGGAATTAGGAATGTAGAATTCATGCACTGTCGAAAGACAGATGGGAAAAGAGATTTAAACAAATCTACAAGTGACAGAAGATAGTTGTTCATCTTAGAGATTCACCTATCACATGAATGAATTTGGGGGCATCACCGACATTTATTAAAGTGCCAAATATGGAAACTGAATGAGATATCTGAATGACAAAAAAGTAAATCAAAAAAGCAATTTAAAAAATGTCGTAATTCTGAATTTTTCAGGTTATAGGATTTACATTTGTTTAATCATTACAAATGATTTCATATTTTTTAAGTCAACTTCCAGGTGCGAAGTATTGTTCTGGTTGATTTAGAAATGTGACTAATAACTCTTAAGTCTTTTCAGAGAAATACTCATTTTCATAACTATATGGATGAAAAAATTTAACGTATTATGTAAATAACCTAGAGTATCTCTCGAAATTAGTTTTTTAAATTACATGGTATAACACGACTCCTACATGTTCAGAGATTGGGAAAGAGGGATATACTAATGCTATCAGGAGATTAAAGTACTGATAGCTCACATTTAGCTTGGATCAGCCTTCAGTTATGTTGTCTATTTCAAGCATGCTAGTGACAAATCATGATTTACTTCTCAAATGCAAACCTATCTTAGAGATCTGGGTCATTTTTCAAGCTCTATATGGAGAAGAATGTTGATTGAGCATCGAAGGTTTAACTTTGGACCAGGGTCAGAGGCCACAACACCAGAAACACTACCAGACATTTGAGGCCTCCAGGCCCTCAATGGTTGCCTCAACTGTAGTCTTCATCAGGACACTGCCCCAGCCTGAGAGCCTGAAGGTTGGTGCCTGGGAGCAGGACTGGTCAGCAGACCAGCTCTCCCAGGCTCAGCAGAAAGCCCTGTGCCAATATTACTGACTATCTTCTTCTTACTTCTTCCCATCCTTTTTCCTCATTACGTGTAGTTTTATGGAATTAAACTCATGCACTCCTTCCAGAAATGTCAAAGTATTGAACTGTTTCTAGGTAGCATCTGGGGAGAAGGAATCTCTAGTGATTAGTTCAGCCAAGCTGGCTAAAAAGGGAGAAAACCACAGGAATAGAATGGCACATGGAAGATTCGTGGTGCGGGGAGCCACACCTTTCAAAAAGACACTGACTTCTTAACATTATACTTTTGAAAACTGTTAACCAATGTCCAAAATGTTTATCTTTACCCATGTGAAAATCAGTGATTTGTCCAAATATTCACATTTATACTTTGTACTTCAGTATTAATACTGAACACTTTGTGTGCATGTTGTACTTCTGGGAATGGACATCACTGCTAGAACCAACCAGGCAACAAGTAATGTACAAATAATACTTTAGAGTTTCCTCTATTTGGGTTATGCTTCCTTTTTTTAAGCTTCCTGACTGGAGCCTCACCCAAGCTTAGCATTGTAGTCTACCATGAGATTCGCCCTTCCCCTTTGCTGAGCCCTCCCAGTACTACATCAACTTCTGGACAGCCCCACGCCAAGCACAAATAACTCCTCAAAATCAGGTAGTTGAATGGTTTGAAAATAATGTCCCTATACATTTGGAACATTGAGACTGACCCATGTTTCAGAGTAAATCATAAAACCCCCTTAGGGATGTTTAATAAGGAGTTAACTGCCATTCAATTATCATTCAGCTCTCAGGAGCAATTTCACAGGATCAACAGAAAAGAGACAAAACCCCAAACAGAGTATTGATGACTTTAATGTAAGTACAAGATCAGATCTAGTCCTGTAGTTTTGGGATAAACTCTTCTCTAGTGAACAGATCAAAGTTCTAGCCAACTGACTAAGAATATTCCTCAGTTTTGAAGAAAATGAAGTATCTATTTGAAAAAGAGAGATAATCACAAAATGACTATAACAGAAAGTATTTTTTCTTTTTTAAGAGAAATTGTGGTGCAGTCTTTCGTTGTGATATTATTTTAGAGAAAACATTCCTTTTATACTTTCAGTGTGGTTCAAGTTAATTTTTCCCGATTTCTGACCTCTTTAAAATTTGCCTTAATCTCTTTCAGGGAATGCTGACTTGTATATTTTAGGGAACAGGACTGGGTAGCACTGAACTGGAAGCACCATTTCTCATTTTTGCCAAGTTTTTCTTAATAACCTTTTGGCAAGTGACTGGCTTCAAGTTTGGTAGTCTGTAAAATAACCCTATGGCATTGAGAAAGCAATAAAATGTAAATTAAAGTAAATAATGCAGTGTTAACTTCCAGATATTCCTTTTTACCACCTTGTCAAAAAAAGTTTCTATTTAACATTCAATCATCAACTATTTATTATAGGCATTAGGGATAAGATAATAAGAACCAATCCCTGCCCTCAAGGAGCTTATAAATGGAAGCAGATAACAAAGTATAGGTTTCAGTTGTTTCATTCCCACCATACTTCTTGATGATGCTGACTTTTGGGGAGGTTAAACAATGCTACACTATTAGAAATGTGCATGGCCCAAAGAACATGTATTAAAGAGAATAAATATGTATTCTGCATAACTTTGACACAAAGACTAATTAGTATATTAGCACCTGAAGTTTCTCCATTCTCAAACTTGCTAAGGAAAAGAAAAAAGCTTGGTTATATGAAAACTAAGTTACATGAAGAATTAGGCAGAGTTTCTGCAAGCAGCAAGACCATCCTCTAATTTATTTTATGTACATGACACAGGCACACAGGTATGAATGAAGACCTCTGGCAGAATTGTTGTTCTCATAATAATGAAAAGCTTCTAAGAATTAACATAAGAACGGAGTGGTGGTATTTTTAATTCTCTAACAAATGTAAATTTTTTATGAGGCAGGCCATCACATTTCCTTTATTAATTGTCTTAATTAATTCACATCTTAATTCACATGTCTATGTTTTGCTGGCAGACATCAGGAAAGGAACAAGAAGACCTGGGGACCAATGTTGGCCTCTCTTTGTGCAAACCTTTGCTTCTTTTAGACTGGAACATTTTGCTGTTC